TTACTATGACCATTTATGTGAAGCTACTTTGACACAATCTACATTGTAAAAGCGCTATACAAATAAAGCTGAATTGAATTGAATTGGTGGATTCATGAAAACAGAAACTGCAAAAAATGTAGCTTCTGGGACATATTTGGCACTCTCCAGAAATTTATCTGCTTGTTAAGTCATGACGTATTGGTGACGTAAGGAATACTGTTTCCTGGTGCAAGCCGCTACTCGTTTGAATTGAGAAAATATTTATTTATGACCACTTTAAAGTTAATTTTATATAAAATCATAGTGTACACATCATTCTCTGGCCTTGCTGCTTTACAAATACCAAATTTTTAACAACTTATATAAAAATGAATCACTTTCTGGCCATTGAATATAAGGCATGGACATTTACTGTATATTGCGAGCGTGATTTTTGAAAGTATTACATCACTTTGTAAACGTTTATTATTACCATTTGAAGAGTCACCCCATACATAGAGCTCTTGGACCTGGAAGCCACTTTGCCTGTCGTCACACCTAACTAGCGGAAATATAGGTACGTTTTCAGAATGAGCCTGGGTTGGTGTTTATGTAGCATGAGACACTCGCTTCTAATGTTAACACTTGATTATATGGGTGTTATCAATGGTTATCAGCTAATAGATATGGGCCAGTAGGGGCCTTCTACCCCACATGGTAGGAGCTTTCCATCCATATGGTTAATCAGCTACACTAATAGAGAAGACTCCAGATCCAGATCTCTTTTTACATTTCTGTGACTGTTGGGTTTCGGTTTGGGGCAGGGGTAGACGTTAGTAAAATACAATTAATGGGAAATTGAATAAATCATGGTAACTTCCGGCCGCAGCCGTTTGTAATCTATAGCTGATTAACCATGTGAATGGATGATAACAGCCTTCTGAGCCTACCAGTAGGCACAGAATACCCCTTAATTATTTAATTAATTTATTCATTTTTATTCATGGTTTTAATAGTGCAAAGTAGAGCAAGTGCTGTTCTGTTTTTGAGCTCAACAATCGAACAGAACAATGACATGTAACGTTTTTTTAGCTTAAGGTCATGAAGTAATGGCAATATACTTACAAAAATGTGTTCAGATGCGGCACTAAGTGATTATGCACATAAACCCTCAGTAAATGGAAGTCTTTATTAAACTTACTTATATTTATCAGATCTTTCTTTAACTTTACATTGATTTTGGGTGGGTGGGGGAGGGATATATTCCTTGTTTTGCTGCTAGTTGATTATTTTTTGGTCATATTATTTTGGCCCAAAAAGTTACTATAGAAATTGATTTGATCACTAGCAGCCAAAGAGAAAGCATATGTATGGGAGAGTATGGTAATATCTATGGCAATATCTTATTGCTCATATTAACATGTTAGCTAGCAATCTAGCTACTCATTGGTTGATCCCCAGCTCCCTGTGAAGTACACATTGGTGTCCTCAAGATAACACAGATGAATGAAGGCTATGGCAACAAGCAATGAGTTACTATGGTTACTACTAAGGGAAGCTCATTTATACTTAAGTGCTGAGAAATATATGTGTAATTTATTATTATTTCTAACCAGCCCAAACAAACAAACAAACAAGCACATTTTTTTTATAATATTATTAATTAATATACCATTCTTTTAACTTCAAATGAAATATGAATCCTTTTATGGTTTTCTAACATTTATTTTAACACCGATCACTCTTTAAGGTAAAATTATTGTAAATACACAAATAGTCCTAATATTAACTTACATGTACACTGGATGTAACCAGATGAATAAAGGTTTTATTCATTTAGATAAATTTAAATAATCAAAGTCTTTTCTGATCAGTGAGTTTGCAAAAATTATAATAAATTACAAGCAAATGTAAATAAAACAGAGCAAAGATAAAAGTGAAACAAACAGCGCTTTATGGTTTTCTGGAGAGCCTAATAGTATTCAGCAACAGAAATTGAAACAGCAAACATTATATGATATGACGTGGTCATCATTGTGCAAAAAAAAAAAAAAAAAAAAAAAAAAAAAAAAAAAAAATATATATATATATATATATATATATCTTTTAATTTTTTTTTAAAATAATCTAATCCTGCATCGTGACTATTGCGGATACACACATTGTGATATCAATCCTCAAATAATATATTGTGCAGCCCTATTACATACAGTAATAACATACACCATTTTCTTTTATTACTATACTAACTAAGTATGTAATTTGTAACCTGAATTAAGATTTTACCCTAATAATAAACTGAATGAATCCAATAGAAAATGCCTTTAATAATTCTTTGAGATTTGTGTTTGCTGATGTTTGGCTTCCAAATGATTCGATTTGAACCTACAGTCAGCATTAATAATCGCAAAAGCCCTGAGTCTATATCTCAGATTTGAGATGATGGCCATAAAAACTTTTCATTTTCACTTTTCCAAAAGCTCTTTTTGTCAAATTGGAATTAAACTAACTGAATCCAGTCTGGCGTGACATTTCAGAGGCTTTGAGCAGACGTAAATGTTTAAATACCGCTGTGTAGATTTGTTTGAAAGGTTTTTATTTGATGGCTCAATATCTTTCATTATGCAGATGGTATGTTTATTATTGCGGCGTTCTGTCAGGTAGTGGAGTGAGTCAAACTTCATGTGGATAATGCATGTTGTATTCAAGCTCTGCTGGTGTGGCATGTGTTGGCTTTAACCCACCCTCTAGTGAACTCCGGTTGGCTGCTTCATGTCTGGAGTTCAGTTGTGGTCGTGTTAATTACCTGTCGTCTGTTAATGCTCTTAACAGCGAACTCCAGGTGTCTAATCTGTCTGTTATTTGAACTAGAGCATTTCATTGATTGGGTTGTTTAAATCATTCTATGATTTAAAGGAAACATATATATGAAAAAAAATGTCTGTTGAAATATTTAATAATGGAAAAAGCTGAATTTAATCCCAAGAAGCTGTGTGATTAAATAATAATAAAAAAAATGGTGGTTGTGCATTTAAAATTATTGGTTGAATCCATAAAACACAGTATATTTTAAATTTGGTCAAAGCTAAAGATTGCTATGCTGGCTGAGACTTTCTTAGTGAATTGTTCTGTACAGGTTCAGTGTGTTGTTGTTTTTTTATTTCTTTTTGAAATATGTATTTATTTATTGGAAATAATTCTATTTAGCTTCACTGTTAACAGTTGTAAAAAATTGTGGAAACAGTTCATTTTGATGGTCCTTTTAAGTATTAGTTGACCTTCTGCTTATTATCTGTTGATACTGCTCCTTCAACAGACATTTAACTGACTAATGTCTGCAAGTACATGTCAACTTACATTAACCCTAACCACAACCTTAACCTAACAGTCTACTTATAATGTAATAATATTTTTTTGGCATGTAGATGCAATGTAGCTCAAATTCAACAAATGGACCATCAAAATAAAGTGTGAACAAACTAGTGCCACGATGGTGATGATTTACTTTCAGAACACCACTGTTGCAGTTAACATTCCATTGAAATGAATGGGGACAGAAGCTTTTAGTAAAAAAAAAAAAAAAAAAACAAACAAAAAAAAAACGAATTATACGCTGAAATAACATCACTGTAAAACTGTGAACTTCACTTAATGTAGTGATGTTAATTTGATGTATATAGTTAAAACTGATTATATTAGGCATAAATTAAACTTGCAACTGCAAAACATAATCATGGAGATACTAAGGATTTGTTTCAGGCATAATTGGTTCTGTCTTTTAATAGATTTAGCATCTTTGAAACTTTGCAGAACTTTTATTTTCACAATCAGCTACAATAAATGATGAATAAAAGATAAAATGAGATGAAAAATTTAATTGTGTACCCTAAAACTATTGGATACTTTTTATATTTCTGGGTTTCTCAGTGGTGGAAGTCATTGTAGTTGTGTTAACTTAGAAAGCAGTGAATAATAAATGCACTTCATACAAAAATCCAAATATTAAAAAAACACTTTCGAGCATTTAAGATGCAGATAAGCACCATCTTGTGAAAAGGGTCTATAGATTATTAATTTAAATACTGCTTTTTCTATTCGTTCCCATCAGATTTATGACATATTATATATTTTCAAAAGAAATATAAAAGTTCCAAAAAGCTTTGTCTAGAGTTTCTAATGATTCGTTTTAGGCATATTTGATTTTACTTTCTTTTAGAATTTTTATCACATTTGATACTTTGCAGACGTTTACTTTCACAAACAGACACTTAAAACAAACTTAACTTAAGGATAATCTTAAAATGTTTATACCATTATACTTTAAAAACTCCTTATTATCCCCAATCCTCACTATTAAAATTAGACTTATATATTCCTAAAAGTAACATAAAGCACCATAAAAGTAAGTCTGGAGTTAATGAGGATTTGTTTCAGTTGGAATTGTTTCTTTTTTCAATGAGATTTTTCATCTAGATAAGTTACCTCTACAAAAATGTTTAAAATACACTAAATGAAAGGTACAATCTGGGAAAAAAAAAACAGAATAGGGACATCTTAAAATGTTAATAAGAGCTTTATATTTAAAAAAAAATATTAACATAAAGTGCCACAAAAGTAATACTGGAGATAGAGGCAGAATTGTTTCCTTCTTTAAAGAGATTTTTCATCTTTCATCTTTTCATCTTTAATATTTTTTTACAAACAGATGCTCAAATACACACTAAATGAAAGGTACAATCTGAAAAAAAAAGGAACAGGGGCACCTTAAAATCTTAATAATAGCTTTATAATTAAAAAACTCCTCATTCTCCCTATTCCCACCATTTACGTTAGACTTAATTAGTAGGTTAAGGTTAACAAGCCGCCACCTCAAGTAAAACCCTGCTGTCTCTTACCATAAGCCCGCAGGATGTGACATTAAGACCCTAATGCCCTGCTGCTTGGTGACTGACTGACATATTTCTCTCTGTCATTCTTCAGAGTGTGTGGGGAGCATTCAAGAAGACACCCTGCTGCTTCAGTTTCTGCCACGTCTGGCTTCAGGAAAGTGTTTTCTTCTAGCCATGTGGTTAACGGCACACATACACCCCTCCGCCATCCTGCTATTGACCCTCAGCAGCCTGGCCTCTGCAGGTAAGCGCTGTTATTCTTGTAACTCATCATCTCTCTTGGGATTTTGAAATAACAGGTCAGGAGTGAGTGAATGTGGCTTGATGTTGCGTGAACCGTCTATATCATGTGTTTTGTTTGTTTTATGAAGATGAAGGAAGAGTTATGGGGGATGTTTTTAAAATGTTATGGCTTACAATGAGGGGACTTCACAAGTTGGCCATTTTCTTTTGTTTTAAAGATGTTTTTGATGTGTTTTTAAAGGTGAAAGTCAACAAAAACTGAAAAATGTATAACTTGGTCATCAAACTTATTCAATTGTGACCATCGACAACAAAACTAGTCATGAGTGTCCATTTTAATTAACTGAGACCTGACCTGAGCATCATCTGTTGAATAAAAAAATTGAAGAGTTGAACAAATAAGCTGTGAATTGATGTGTGGTTTGTTAAGATAAGACAATATTTGGCTGAGAAAGAAATTTTTGAAATCTGTAATCTAAGCATTAAAAAAATAAATATTGAGATGCTTTTGAAGCTGTCTAAATGAAGTGCAATGCACATTACTAATTAAAAATTATGTTTTAAAATGCTTATATTTTACATATGCAAAATATCTTAACAGATCATGATCTTTGCTTATTATTCTAAATTATTATATAATTTTTAAAAAGCATTAAAAAACAGATTATTGTGATAGCCATATATATAAGACTGGTTTTGTGGTCCAGGGTTATAATTGGTTAATATAAACATGCTGATCATCCCAACTATGCCTGTGCATTGTGGTTTTACTTTGGTAAGGACATCCCTCAATGTATTTAGAGGCAAGTTACCCTTGTGTTGTCCTAGAATTTTGTATACATGTGTGTTCCAGTAATTTTTGTGGTGTAAAAATGACTTTAAAACTGACAGGTCAAAATTAACAAAAAAAAAAAAAAACAAAAAAAAAAAAAAACAAAACAAAACAAAAAAAAAAACAAAAAAAAAGAAATGTGTATGGCCTTTGAAAATATGTAAAAATATAAAAATAGAACATGATGATGATTTAAAGTCAGCTAATATTTATATATATATATATATATATATATATATATACATACACACTACTGGTTAAAAGTTTGGGGTCAGTATGAAAAAAAAAGTAAAAAAAATAATAAAATAATCTTATCCTACTCACTAAGGCTGCATTTATGTCATCAAAATATAGTACAAATTGTAAAATTGTGGAAAGTTATTGCACTATAAAATAACTGTTCAAAAGTAGTTGATAATTTATTTAATAATTTATTCTGGTGATTTTAAAGATGTATTTTCAGCTTCATTACTCTAGTTTTCAAAGTCTCATGATCCTTCAGAAATCACTTTAATATTAATGAATGAATAAATGAATGAATGAAAAAATGAATGAATGAATTAGTTATTATTATTATTATAATTATTATTATTATTAATTGTTTAGCAATAAAAGCAATACAGCAGTAATGATGTTATTTAAAACTACAATAAGAAAGCAGTTATTTAAAATATTATAAGATTTTTTAAACAATTTTTAAACATTAAATTTAGCAATAATCTTTTTAAAAAAACAGGAAAAAAGTAAACAAAGCTGTCCCCTAACTTTTGACCGGTAGAATATATTTTTGTTTATATATAGTTCAGGTCTTTTCTGCTGTTTAATAGTACCAGGAGGCTTAAAGATTTATAATTTATAAAGTTTAATAACATTTTGATGAATAGCTAATTAACATTTTTTTCTAAGAAACAAATGGTCATGTTTATTCAAAGTAGTATGTTTAAGAAAGGTTTACAGTAACTGAAAATGTGATCTTAATTTAGTCATCAGAAATAATATATTAGTCGGGCAAAAGAGCTAAATTCAATTACATATTTAAACAGATATATTAGCTTCAATATTCATCAATATTTTTCCTAAGCTCCTAGTGAAAACCTGAGCTCATGGAATAACAGTATAATCCGTGGACTGTTGTCATACAATGTTTTGAATTCTTTAAGCTTTAGTTTTTCATTTTTCTGGGTATTAGACACACTTACATCTTAAATATTTTTGAAACAGCATTTTTTATGCTTACTAATGCAGCATTTATTTGGTTAGAAGTGCATGAAAAGCAGAACGCATAAGCATTTAATATTTAGCAATCTCATAATGACAAAATCACAATGAAGTCATTTGCATTAGAAATACTGTTTAAGAACTGTTCATCCAAACAGTTTAGTGACACATTTAGTTTGATGTCCATAAAAGTGTGTATGTTTTTTGAAAATTCAAATGTAACATATCCTCATCTAATATTAAATTCAATGTTTACAAATGCCGTTTTTTTAATTAATTGAAATGTTGACGTTCAAAATGTCTTTTTTTGTTAATTATTGACTAAGAGTCCAGTGAATTACAGTGGTTTAATTGAGGCTGTGCAAAAAACAAACAAACAAACAAAAAACTAGAACTAGTTTATTAATGTATTTTTAAAATGATTTCTTGAAGCATGCAATTTAAACACATCAATGATCCATGAAGCTTAGTTGTTCAAAATGATAAGTTGATAAGATCAATTACAGGGTACAAAGACTGTGTTCATGTGTGAAAAACATCCAAAACACACATACATACAAAGACACACATACTGACCAGCGGTCTTGTAAATGGTGTATCTGTTTCAACATTTTATGCAAATGAATGAGCACATGAATGAATGTACACATGAGTAAATGAATAAATAAATGAATTATGCATTTATATATGGCACATACATGTGTATTATGTTATAATATATTAGTATACCAGCTTCAATTTAAAATCCATTTAACCACAATGTCTCTTATCTGGTTCAACATTTACAAAACCAAAGTCTGCGTCAATCTTTTTCATAAGCAATTTGATGGAAAAAAACACTATCACTATCGAATTGGCCTGAATTGACTCTCAGACAGAAAACGGGGCACGTTTTTTTTTTTTTTTTTTTGCTGGGGCTGTTGATTGGGTGTGCTCCATAAGCTGCTCTCATTGTCTTGACAGAGTGAAGCAGTGTTGCCTGTTTTGTCAGGCAATCAGGATTCGCCCCCTGTGTTCGGAATTTCCCCGGTTCCTCCCAGCATGAGTCTTCTAGATCTGGCTGTCAGAGAGCAAAGGCCGGGGGGATTTGCATTAAGAAAGTGCTGACAGCCTCAATCTCTCAGCCTGAAACAGCAGTGGCGCACGTCAGCTATGCCTCCTCTAGCTCGACTCAGGCAGCTCTATCTGTGTGATTGATCAGGGCTTGTTGGCTCAGTCTCTTCAGAAGAGTGATGATTTGTTCCCCTCTGGCACAACAGCCTGACATAGTTGCATGCCAAGAGAAAAAAGGCAAAGAAAACAATATGGCAGCAACCAAACAAACAGGCAAAATGTCTGGGGTGACAGTCAGTCGTCAAGATTGTGGGGTCTGGAGTGTTGTGATTTAGGAGCCACACTGTTCTAGGACTTTTCTTGCACTTGTTCTGTCGAATGTCTCTTTGTTGGTAACAGATCCCATTGGTCATTCTCAGCAGTTCTGTGATTTTTCTGTCAGAATGCTTTTCTTCTCGACAAATAGACCAGAGAACAGAGAAGTTTAGATTGAAATATCAAGGAAATTATTAAATTTAGTAAAATTAGCACATAAAACGTGGTGGATAATCGCTGTGAATAATAAACACTCTCAGAAATAAAGTTACAAAAGCTCTTACTGGATCCTTTAGGTATCAGTATGGATCCTTTATGTACAAAAGTGTAAAGGTACTGCCCTGGTGACCGTTTTTGGACATCTAGTTACTTTTGCATGTCTATATTTATATTTGTACCCTAAGATATATATATATATATATATATATATATATATATATATATATATATATATATATATATATATATATATATATATATATATATACCCAATATTGTACCTTTAAAGGAATAGTTCACACAAAACTTAAATCATTTACACATTTTCTAGTCATTCATTCTTCTGTTGAAGACAAAAGAAGATATTTTGAAGAAAGCTGGAAATCTGTAACCATTGACTTTTACAGTATTTGTTTTTCCTACTATGGAAATAGTAGTGTGTTGGGCTGGGTGATATGACCTAAAATCTAAATCTCGATTAATTGAACATTTTAACTCGATTATGAATTATGAATGCTTATTTTAATCATTTATTTTATTTTCTACTGAACGGTTTTGTACAGTAAATATGCTTACATATTACTAGTGAGAGATGTCTGAATGAAGGGTGCATTACTTGATTTTAAAATAATTGAAGGAAACACACATCTACTATCTCTGATTATTTATTGAACATCAGCTGGAATTAAAACACACATTGCATTTTTCTTATGAAAAAGTACAAAAAACTAACAAAATGAATTATTTTCAATGTATTTAAAAGTAGAAAATAAGCAGTATCTCTTCTATATAAAATAACTCTTGTTATCCTGTATGATAATTTAAACAGTGAATTTCTTGAATCAACTGTAAACAAATATTTGTATGTAAATAATAATTTCATTGCAATAGAAAATATGCCGCCTCAAGGCATCTCTGGCGCACCTTTTAGTCATTGTCAGTGTAGTCAAACATGTGACATGTAGTTACATTTTACAGGTGCAAGTATAAATCAGCCCTAACAGAGTGGAGTAACGCGACTCCAAATGTGGTAGGAAAAGGTAATTGAAAAAATTTACCTTAAAATTTTTTATTTATTATAGGTTCTGTTATAGGTTCTGAATGTCAATTTCGATTAATCGTCCAGCCCTAATGTGTGTAAACTTACACTAACATAGTAGTACATAAAAAGTACAAATGTGTATCATTGGAAAAGGGGAAAAGGTATACTGCATCACTTCAGTACTTTTGTATTTTGCAATACTGTAGTTAGGTAATAAGATAATTTTAATATTGTAAAAATGTGTGTATATATATATATATATATATATATATATATATAATTTTTTTTCTTTGCATTTCAATACTTATACTTGTTTTAGCAA